AGAGAGATATCCCAAGGCGTTGGCATCGTTGTCGGCATTGTCATCAACACATAACTGTCAACTATATCGTAGTTATAGGGGGTTGGTTCTTTCAATTCCGCTCTTTCCCGGTGGTTAAATTCAAATGCGTATAGTTTCAGTTTCAGTTTCAGTTGTTCGGGGAGGATTTGTGCGCTCCGTGGCAAATGACCCACAACAGAGACATCGTCATTAGGACATCAAATGGGCCCAATGGCAGCCGTGAAAATCGTACAAAAATCGTCCAAAATCATCAAAATGAAATGCATACAAAGTGAAATTTAACAGTAGATACAGCATTATGTATGCAGATTTGTATGTTGATGTTTTGTAAGAGTTTCAGAGTATTCAGACAGACCTCGGGATGACATATTTTATGCATTTGGCATTTGGTTGAAGTGGCGCCGAGCCGAGGCACAAATAAATAAGTAAAATCCTGCATAATTTATGCATTTAATGTAAACAGACAATTTGGCGCAGATTTCCCGGAGATTTCCCAACCGTAGAGGTGGTTGCTTTGGTCGCCATTGAAGTGGGAGAGCCAAGAAAATTACGTAACGGCAACATAAGGTTACCAGTGCGAGGGCAGATCGAAAAGTTGCCCCCTTTTTTTTATTGGCAAAGTTTTCACCGATTGTTAAGAATTAGTTGCTTATGAGATGACGGTTCCTAAACACAAGAAATAACTTTTTAGAAGCAAAGAAAATATAAACAGGAAGAGGAGAGTTTTTAAGGGTGTCTCCTGAATCTCCTGATATTTCATGTCAAGGTGCTGCAAAGATGGATAAATAAATGCACAAGAACCATCAGTGGCCAGCCAATAAACTTGCTAGTCAACCCACTGTAAGTTTTTAGGGCTGCTGTTCAAAAAAATGATTTTAGTTGACAGCCAACAGTCAGCGCCGTGTCAGAAATCACAAGAGCAGCAACAGGAAAAACCGGAGAAGGAAAAAAATGAAAGAAAACCGTACAAGATATTGGCTGGGGGATGGGACTGCTACTGGGACTGAGACTGGGACCAAAGAAGAGACGACGGGGCAGGCCAGGGCGGCACTTGATGAGCAAATCAGGGCCCGAGCCCATGGTTCATTGACGTAGCAAATTGGAACTTCCTCTGGGAGCAACCAAAAAACGAGAGCTGAAGAGAGGGCAATGGCAATGGCAATGGCAATGGCAATGGCAATGGCAATGGCACTGAAGATGATGATGATGATGAGACTGAATGAGAATGATGTAACTCCCCGAAGGAGTCTCTTAAGTAGCGCCAGGTAAGCGGGTGAGCCAGAATGGGCTACACACAATGGAATGGCATAAGCGGAAGTGCAGCGGGCTGTGGAAAGTATCTAAGAGATGCGCATATTAATGGCACTGATTGTGCCGCACAGATAAACGAAACGAAACGAAACGAAACGAACCGAGGAGTGGAGAGCAGAGAAGAGAGCGGCTACTTGAATTACATTTACATGGCCTGACATGTCCGATGACAACCAACCCGTCCTAAGCGCATTAAGATGCGAATCGAGACGAGCATCTCCTCCATCTGGATCACTTGCAGCATTCCAAACCATTCCATTTCATGTCATTCATTCATACATACATATGTACACATGTACATATGAACGATCTCACCCATTCATAAAAATCAAACAAGACGATCTGTCGCGCGCTTTTGTCCAGCATTTACCCTATATACTCGTACTTGTCATATTATGACAATGTTGGATGGGTTTATTTACCTCGGCACCGACACACAGACTCTGGATGCGATGGATACCAGGAGATAGAAATGTGCGAAACGATCATCGGCAGCATGGAGATGAGCTCGTAAAAGAAAAAACAGCGCCAAATACAGAGCACATCAAAGACGATCCATTAATAAAATGAAACTGCACTTTGTTGCAGCTACTATGAACCGGATGGCTGCTCCGCAACAGAACTGAGACAATTAGGCAATAGAAAAACTGAAGAAAAAACTGTACAAATAATTGAAAATAAAGTCAACTAATAAACTACCAGAAAACTGCATACAAAATCATAAGTACTCTCCTCGAAAACCATCGATTCCATTTTGGTTCTCGATTTGCTTGCTCTGCTGCTGGGGCAGTGGGACCGACACCGACACCGACACCGCCGCCTCCACCATTCCCTACCCTACCCCGTTCATTAATAATTATTAATCATAATTCCCCTTAATGGCGGGCGTTTAAAAACTGTTCGAGCGTCTTAATTGGTTTTGCTGCTTGGCTGCTTGGCTGAATGCCGGATTGTCGGAGATGGAGGGGCGGCCACGGCCACTGGCACTGGCACTGGCACTGGCCAACTGCTTGCTAACTGCTTTCTGAGCCAACTTCCGCTGGCGAGAGCCAGCCATTTGACATGTGCATTGGATGATTGAGCTGCAGTGCGAGTATTTCCAGTAATTTGGGCTCATTAAAATGACTTCGAAAGACGGGGGGATAGGTGGAGAACTCACAGAGGGACGCTGCAAGTGTCATTCGAAAGGGAGCGCGCGACATGTGGGAAATGAGCAGTAAAAAAATATAAAACGAATGGTAAAAGAGATGAAGAGGAGCAGAGAGAGAGAGAGAGAGGGAGAGAGGAAAGGAAATCGAAAGACAATAGAATTGCGGCGGCGGCTTTCGGTAATTGTTGGCGTTGGTCATGGTGAACCGTAACAACAGCAACTGTCAGAGGCCGGTCCCAGTCCTATGGATAGGCACCGCCGCGAACATATGCATGCATGTACATATATCGTACTTAGGAATAGCGAATTCGAACCCTACAAGTGCCCAGTGCCCAGTGCGCTGGCTGATCGAAGCGGAACACGTGCGTGGGAGCAGAGGCTCTAATTAGGGCCTTTAAACAGCTGCCTCTCCCTCGTCTCGTTTCGTTTCGTCCCGTCCTGTCCCGTTCAGTTCCTCCACACTCCTTCTTGACCCTTTCCACATTCGTGTCTGTCTTCCTTTTTGGCATCTTTTTGATGTTTGCGTAGGTTTATGTAAATTATCCCTGAGGGCCAAGGTCCATGTCCATATAGACCATGCTAGAGGCGCAAATGATTCCTAGAAGGCAGCAACTGTAGCTGCAAAGACAACTCTTTCCCTTCATTCACTTTACCAAAACGCAGGTTATATTCATTTGCATAGGAAACACACACAGCTAACAGAGGAAAGAGATCTAACGTGTTTATATGTGTGTTTATATGGCAGGGGAATGTGCACATATTTATCCAGGGCAGGGTGACGCAAAACATCTGAGAACCGAGTTCCACAGAATATTCAATTTGGGCTTTGGCAGTCCCTCAAGAAGCTAGAGAGCCATAGGCTTATAGAATCCTCCAGTAAGTCTACGTTTCAGTTCAATTAAGATTCCAAATCAGTAAACAATAACCCTCATACTTATTATCTAGCCTAGTTATTCCGCCAGTTCCAGGGCAGGAGACAACATGGGAGAGAGACTGAACTGGAGTTGGACTATTGGTAATGCGACTGTGAAAGAGCCTTCCTACTGCATATTTGCTTTTGGAACCTCCTCTCACTGGCAGGATTGCTTTATGACATTGCCGTAAACCCTTTTAGCGGCGTGCGCGGAAGGACCAAACAACACAGACACTCACACATAAGAGAGTGAAACAACAGAAGAACACCATGAGGAAGAAGCTGCTAAAGTAGAGGAAGAAAAGGGACCACCCATGCCCCGGCCCCCGCTTCGGCCACTGTTGATTTTTCGCGGTCTAATAAAAACAGCACAAAACAACAAAACCAACAAACCAACTAAATAAAAGAGTTTGTGCGGGGTTTTCCGCTCAAAGAGTTGAGGCCGCTCGCGGCACATTGCACTCGATTGCCGCCGCTCACTTTTCCACGGAATTCACGAAAACCCTTCGGTTTTCCGCCGTAGCCACCGCCACTGCCGTTGCCGTTGCCGTTGCCGCCCGCCCGCTCAACCACTCTGGGTGTGAGCATTTGCATAACGCCGCTAACGCTAACGCAGAAGCCAGCTCTGCCAGCGTCAGTCAGCGTTGAATGGAGCTTTCGAGTGGAGACCAACAGCTGTGGCTGGCGGAGCTTTCGATTACTGATAAGAGGGGGGAAATACTCGAGAGCGGTGATTGAATGAATAAATGTAGGAGCACAGGTGAGCGGGAGCAAGGTAACTACTTGTAGTGCCCCGCGAAACCGGTTCACACTCGATCCGATCACTTGAGTTTTGGACTAAAAACTAGCATTGAGCTTTAGGGTGGACATACCTGATTTGTACCACCACAAAAGACCATACGTAGAGGACGTATCCTATTAAATGAAGTCACAAATCAGATCAATCCATTGGATCATGTATGTTCATGGGCATTAATTGTGTTATTTAAAATGGACTAGAAACGTAGCTTAGATGTGTACATATATATTCAACATATTTAAACTCGTTTTTAGAATTAACAAAATTAAACATATTATAAATACATGCATATGCATTTATATTTAATTGATATTAAATTGATTTTAATTGAATTTAACTTCTCTAAATCTTGTGTTTCCCTGCTTATGGTCTTAAGTCTTTCAGCTTAGGCCTTTGCTCTTTTAATATTTCTGTTTATGTTTGTCTTCCCCTTTCCATTTATATATTTTTTAGGTCAATTTTTAAACATCTTTTTGGTCCACTCGAATGCACCACAGAGCACTTGGCCAGCCCTGGCAGAGACAAACAAAATACATGAACGACTGTTTATGAGTCTTGAGTGACTAGTCTGGACCCAGCCCCAGTCCCGGGCCGCCCCACGCGATGACGTAGTCTCCCATAGTGCAAACGGAACCACATCGAATCGAACCCGCCCGCCGATCAGGCCACCCGGCGCAAAAGCAAAGCCAAAGCCCAAAGCACTCGCACTCGCGCGCTGATAAGCTATCAGCCATTGCCGCCCCCCCCCTAGACCCCTTGGTCGTGGGTCCCGCCTTCTCGATGACAATAAATAAAGATAAAATGCATAACATTTTCGTTGCAAAATACAAAAAAAAAAGAACGTAGCAAAGTTTATTTGAGGCATGCCCTCGTATATACAATGTGGCAAATGATGACGACGACGAAAATCACGATGATGACAAAGATCCCCCCGCTAACGATGAGCGCGGCTGGCGGGTCGGGTCGGGTAGGCTTCTGCCAATGATAGGGATGATGATGATAAGGCGGCGCTATAAACATTCAGCGACCTTGAGGTAAATGCGGTGTTCGCTGGCCAAGAGCGCGAACTTGGCATCAAAGCTGATGCGCTCGACAGTCTTCTCACAGAACTCGACCCGGTGCTGTCGCAAAAAGTATATGAGTCCCAGTTTTATCTGCAATTGGCCAATCTGCGTGCCAATGCAATGCTTGGGCCCAGCGCCGAACGGCAGATACGACATCGGGGCTTGATGCGATTTATTTTCGGCGCTAAAGCGTTCTGGATCAAAGCGTTCCGGATCCGGCCAGTACTGCAGAAATAGAGAGATTCAAATTAATTTGTGACGGATTCGTAAAATAATCCCCCCATTAACGTTGTGTAATTCTACTTTCTAAACTAAAACGTTAAACGAACAGGTTTCAGATAATTATAGAGCAGCTTGACGTGGCCAGTTGCTCCTATAGACACTTGTTGGTTCTTGTTAGAAGTTCCTAAACCCATCTAAAATATAAGATAACAAATTTCTATAAATTTTTGTGGTAGCTGTTCTCTACACTCGATAAGATTGGGGAAAACCAATTGGAAGCAACATTTTGACAACCATCTTAATGGTTATGCCCTCATGCCATCAACAAATACTGACGAGCGAAAAACAATAGCTACATGGGCGCTAGATATTTCCCTAATTTTGGGTCTGACATCTCACCTTTGGGTCATGGTGTATGGCCAGATTGGATATATAGATGGGCATGCCGCGGCGGGCATAGCACTCGGCGTGCGGACGGAGCGAGTAGAAGCGTTTCTTGTTAATGGGGGTGCACTCGCGCTCAAGCAACGGCACGATGGGGTATTTGCGGAGTGTCTCCTCGACGATCATTTCAAGGTATTGCATCCGGGTGATCAGCTCGTAACTGAGCGCTCCGGCCGGCGACTCCTGGAAGGTCTCGCGTATTTCGCGCCGGAGCCGGGCCTGCATGAGAGGCTGCTTGGCCAACTCGTAGAGGGCAAAGGACATGCTGGCTGAGCATGTCTCGATGCCAGCCACCTCGAAGCTGGCCGCCTGGGCGGCCAGGAAGTCGCGATGGTGAGTAAAGTGGGACTTGTCCTTCTGCAGATCCGCCTCCTTCTTGAGGGTGAGCAGCATCTCGATGAGATCGTTGCGCAGGTCGCCGCCACGCTCCCGCTCTTCGATCACCAGCTGGATGACACGGCGCAGAAACTCCGCATGCGGCTCCGTGAACAGTCGGGGCCGTAATAGCGGCACCAGCTTGGGCAGGTAAAAAATCACGAAAAAGTCGATTATTCGACGCACATTCGGCCGGAATATGTCTTGACAGTGTGAACCAATCTCCGATTGCGTGCTCCGCAGGCTGTACGATCTCAGTCCGAAGGCTATGCTAGCGATCATGTCCGTGTTATACAGGTCGCACACGTCCTTAATGTTCACGATCACACCGCGTGCGGATGCGTCGCTTCTCCGCATATCTCGCGTCAGTCTTTTCAAATACCACTCCAAATCGCAGCCAATCTGAAAATAAGAAGGAACTATTAGAAATTTGACATTTAAGATTCTATTTCAATATCGTATACGCTCAGAATGAATCATTTTTGATGCCATCAAGTTATACTCTTGAAAAAACTTGCATATGCTGGATTTTATGGCTCAAAAACTACGAGAACATAAAGTTTGAGATAAGATTAAGCTACATTCAAATGTATAAAGATATAATAGATATTACATAGCTTTACTAAGGTCAATCTATAATATCTATCTTCATGGCATGACTCTATCTAATAGCTACCAGGGGAACGAAAGGGTATCTATAACTTGCTTACTAAAGTTCCCCTTTCATTCGTTGCTCTGAATGTTTTCAACAAAGGCTTTCCTGCATGGGGTTACTTATATTTTGATCATTGTGCAGAGGAACAAGTTTGCCATTACACCAGACAGCACGATTATAGTTTTTTTAAGGGTTCACGAAGTTTTTTTTGGTTGCTTAATCTGAGAAACTGCTTTTGGCACTCTCCAATAAACTTTCTGTTGCGTTTCCCCAAACTATGAGTGTTTTATTGTTTACTTTTAACAAACACAAAAAAAAGTAACACCTGTTCATATGACACAGGGCTACAAAAATTTGAATTTCAAGTGTTTTTCGGATCATCCAAAGGTATTTTAAATTAATATTTTGGAAGCACAGAGAAAATATATGCATGGTAGAAATGATTTTGCGAATTATGATACAAATAATTAAGTTTACCTAATTGTTATGTCTCTCGGCTTATAAAATATTTATAAATCGCATCATTTTCTCTTTTCAAATTTAGAAAATGTAATAAAACTAAAAGTCTTTCCAAATAATTTTTTAAAAAAGAATGGCGATTACAAACTCTGATTAAGTCTTAATTAAATTATTACAGAAATTCGCCTGCTATACATATTCAAACCGGAACTGGGCTTTTTCTGTTATCGAGCATCTACTGTTTGGTATGTATATATTCTTTGCGGGCAGCATTCGATACTTTGTGACCTTTGATAAGAATATTTGAAATCAACACAAGAAAAAAATATACACAAGAAATGCAAAAAAAATACGTGTGATGATAAGGCGAAAACTTTAACAGCCTGAAGAGCCTCTTTTTTATCAGCGTGAAATGGCACCACTACACTTCTATGGCAATTTTTGGTGTATATCATAAATAAGTTTTCTGTCAGTTCTTTCCGTCTGACACACATATTGTCTCAGCGTGAGAATATATGCTTCCGCACCGTGAATACTAATTTTGTGGGACAGTGTAGGTTTTAAAAGTTCGAGGGGGGCGACCAACATCGAATGTTAGCCTCTCTCACTTTGTGTCTCCCCTTTCTGTGACTCACCTCCTCCATCAGCGAGAACATTTGCTTAATCTTCGCCCCCGTAAAGGCAGGCGACAGCCTCGTCCGTATCTCCCGCCACTCCGGCTGCTTGGCGAAGAAAAGATTGAGGGAGCCCATCTTGTCGTGCCGCAGATCACATTTGGCGAACCGATTAGAGAAGCTCACAAAGTCCTCGACGAGGACGGTGCGCACCAGCGACAGGTCCCGGATGAGGAGTGCCGGCTGGTGGAACAGATAGATGCCCACGATGGGCTCGTTGCGGAACCGCTCGTCGAAGTAAAAGCGTCGCAGCTGCAGTGCGAACGATTCCTCCAGGCGCAGCACCTTGCTCAGGTTTCCCAGCAGATGTGCCGGCTGCACAAACTTAACGCGACGCCGCTGCCAGTAAACATAGGTGCGACGCGACCACACGAACACAGCTGTAAGGATGGTGACGATGGCCAGCAGAATGTTGGTGGAGTATACCATTGTTGCGGCGGCGGAGAGAGAAGTGATCTCTATGCTGCGAGCTCGGTTGCTGCTGGCGCCGACTTTGCTGCGACTGCGAGTGCTGCTACTACGTGGAATTCCTTGTATGTGTGCGCGTTTTAGGCGCGTTTTTTTGGCAATTAAATAAATAAATACTTAACACAATTATATCACATTTGTAAAAAAAAAACCACTAAACGCTAACTATGCGACGAAGAAGTAGCAGCAGCGCAGTGGAAGTAGTCGAAGAAGAAGCAGCAGCGTTCGCAGCAGACGAAGACAAACGACGCAAAAAGAGTCGCACAGAAAGAGACGCAAACGGACAAACACACACACACACGAACAGATAGAGAGAGTACAAAAACGCGGAACCGGAACAAAAGAGAGCGTTGACCAAATAAAATAATAGTAATAATAGTATTTATAAAAAAAAGCACTAGTAAGCACCACAACGACGCCGGCACGACAGGCCCCAAAAAGCAACAGAACTGGCCGAGATGCCGACGCCGCTGCCCAGCGAGTGGTACTGCTATCAACAGGCAGCGGCAGCGACGCCGGCAGCATATCAGCAAAACAACAAAGAAACAACAAAAACACAAAGCAAAACCACAGCAACCGCAGCGGCAGAGAGTAACCTCAAATGCAGAGAGTAGTAGCAGAGAGCAGCAGAACAGTTCACAGTCCACAGGCAGCCGACGCCGATGCTGACGCCCCCATCATCCCATGCTGATTAACCGCAATCGTGTTTGCGGGGGGCAGAGAGTGGCATTGCTGTGATCGCAGAGAGACAGAAAGAGAGAGCGAAGCTGTAGAATTGAACTCGCGACGCGGTGCTTAGCTTGGGGCACATGGCAGGGCCACAGTGGGATCAAAGTCGAAAATACTGTTGCCATTTTCTTAACAAACTTCGACAGTGAAAATTAAATATCAACAATATTAGGAAAATTGTTAAACTATATAAATTCTAGAAATAAATAAATTTTGTAAAAAAGCACTGGTGTTAAGACGTTTGCTCTACTGTACGATGTACGTTGGGCATGCAGTAGAGAGCGAAATAAAATGCGAGCTGCAGAATTGCAGACGCGGTCGCTGTTCTGCTTTGTTTGCTGGCACATGGCAATCATTCCACAATTGAATCAAAATGGAAAAAAAAGACAATTTATGCAAATGTGTGCATAAGTAAGGAATTTTTGCAATTATTTTGCAATGGGATACAGCAGAGTAATAGTGTTTTCCATACGTCTGTTTGTATGAAAGCACACCCCCAACACTTTTTCCCACTGTACAAGAACCGTAAAGAGCACAGCACAAAGTAGACCGCAAATAAAACTGACGATTAAAAGCAAAATAGCGATAACAATAGCAGCACAGAGACGGCGACTGCGTCCGCTGGTGCTCCACGTGACGACGTTCCCAACGACAGCGACAGCGACAGCGAAGAGAGCGCAAAAAGTCGATTTAAAAATAAACGTGCGATTTCTCTTCAACTTTTTTGTTGCTGTTCACCTCTTCTCTCTGTGCTTATTCTTTTTCTTCGTCTGCAGTGTTCAGCTGATTTTGTTTTTCTTTTACGCCGGCAGGGCTGCCAGAGCACACACTACCCCGACCAGGGCTGGACTGACTTTAAAAGCAACACTGAGCGGAGCGTCATTGGGCGCCAAGTTTGATTTCTGTAAAAGTTTTTAATCACTTTTCGCCTTTTTCACTTATCTTTCATCGTAGCAGAACGAACCACTATTGTACATCTCTTCCCTCCATGCAAAAACGGACATCAGCACTTCCTCTTCTCCCCTCGGACAACAACATATTGTGCCTGCATTCCTTCTCCCTTCAAGGACAGGAAAAAGGAAGCTCCATTTACGACAATTGACAGACATTTGCACTTTCGTGGAAAACTTTCACATATCTCAAGATTTTTCCGCTGCTCTCTACCTCCCATTTTCCACTTCTCATTTTCTGATGGCTTTATATCTGCCATTCTCTTTCACCTCCGTTTCTACACGGATAAGAAGTGTGCCGCAGTTACAGTTACAAATGTGCAACATTTCCGGTGTGGCGCCGCTTGGGGGTTAGCCAAAAACTGTTTTGGCCACATTGATGGCTACATGTCGTTGAGAGAGGGGGAGAGAGTGAGTAAGAAGTGGTGTGAGATATTGGCCGGGGGCGTGTGTAAAGGAGTGGAGTCTTGCTTTGATTAAATTTCACGCACGACCGCCACTTGGCCAGGGCTTTGGTGGGGGGAACAGCGGTTCCGTTTGGATTTGGGGACTTTTTGGGCAGAGCGACAGTGAGAGAGCACACACAAACACACAGAGCCACGCGTTCGCATTGACATTTACCGCTGCATTTCGATTTGCATGTGCCTTGTGATGGTTGTGTTGTAGGGGGAATGGAATAGAATGAAGTAGAGGTAACGATACCCTAGCACATGAAGGTATAACTATTTTAACTTCATCTTAGTTCAACAATCAACAATCATTATACACGTTCTCTTTATACAAAAATACATCGATTGATGTATGATGATTGAATAACTTCTAAATGTTGTAGTATTGCAGCTCGTATGAGTAAAAATGAAAGTACAAATGCATGTACCCATCACAAATACTTTTGTTTATAGCGTAACTAACAGTTTGGTACGTGAAGTTGGCATTTTCTCTCCTATTTGCGATGTCGCCTTGTCGCTGCTTCGCTGCTGCTGCGACGCTGGCGAAATGTCAATAATCGTTGTTGCTTATGCACATAACGGCTCTGCAAATACAGGGGCGCACTTGTCACACACATCCCATCCACTGTCCATACCCCCTGGTCTCATGGTGCACATTCACCCACACCGTGCACCCCATCAAAATCCGCTGAGCGAAAATCAAAGCCGTCTCAATCAACAAACAAAGAGACAAACAAACAAACAAATAGTGAGTGAGTAACAAAGAGAGAGCGAGAGAGAGGGAGAAGAAGACAAACATTTGTGTGCGCTTTTCCCGCCCAAGGAGTGGGTGCGTGTGGAGCGGGCGGAACGGGTGGCATTTGCTTTTCCTATTTAGTTTTGGCTGCAACTTTGTTTTCCTTCCATTTACGCTGTTGACATTGGAAATCTTTTAATTATTGTCACGCCTCGCATACACCCTTCCTACCATCCTCATAGTTTCCCAGCCGCCCCCCACTTGGTGTGGGAGTGTCGCCAGGTGGTGGTGATGATGCTTCAGCATGTCGTGAGGATTATGTGGTGATTAGTACTGAAAAGGGAGAGGAACTGAGACAGTGGAAGAAGCTCTTCTCAGAGCTTGGGCGCTCTCTCATACTTCTGCGCTCTCCTACCAGCCACCACACACAATAGTCTCCTAACTGATTTTCCGAGACCCTTGCCTTTACTGTAAGAAAGTCTCTTTCCCATATCTGTTCAAACGCTTCATTGGGTTGTGTATTCCCACATATCGGTGCGATCTCCTTGGCGATCTCTTAGATCCTTTCACCTGCCCGCATTCCATTAGGATGCCGCACTGACCAGCGCCTACCGCCCGCCCATGTTCCATGATCCATGTTCCATGCATGGTCCAGTAATCCCTCTATTTCGGGGGCAAATCTTTGCACATGTGTGCCGACGCCGCTGCGCCCCTTGATGTTGCACCGCCATTCGTGGTGGTGGTGCAGTGGGCAGGGGAGTGAGTGTGTGGCATGGATAAAGTGCGCAAAATAGATGCGTAATTTGACGTTAATGTTACGCTAATAATAATCTGTCAGCCGGCATTAGATGGGTAGATGGGTAGATGTGAGATCCTCAGATTCGGATTCCTCGGATCTGATCCTTCGGCAGCTGATCTTTATCGAATGCACACGCAAACACACACACACAAAAACACACGAACAACACTCCCTTTTGATGCCGATCGTGTAATGTGCTTAGCTCTCCTTTGGACCCACTCCACTTCTCCTTTTCTCTATCTCTCTCGCTCTCTCGCGGGCATCCTTTGCTGCCGTCTTTGCTTTCTTTTCGCTCATTGTTGTGTTTGCCATTTTGACGGGTTTCGATTACCGTTGTCCTTCTGCTCCCTTGCTCTCATCGGGCTGCTCTGCTCTCTCATGTGTGTAATCCACTCTGCTCGTTCGTTGCTCAATGTTAAATGGTGCGCGCCTAAGTTGAGTAAATTTCCCCAAAGGCCCTAAAAAGGACTTTTGCGCACTCTCTTTGTCCCATTTATTGATACATACTGTTTTTTATGCCCTTTGGAAAGAGTACTACTATTTACACCAGATGTTTGTCCGGAGCACCATGAAGAAGAAACATTTTTGGTTCAAATCAAAGATGCATTTTCTCTGCCTCCAAAGCGAACTGGCTTTGGATGCATTTCATTCCAAATCTACGAACTCGTTCTTTTAATTACCCTTTACAAAGTTAAGATTACTCTCTTGCATTTTGAATGCTTCCCAAGAGGGCAAAAAATAGATATCCTTGTGCAAGGACACAGTTTCTGTTCTAGAGGGTTGGACCTTGACTGTCCGCAACGCCTGAGCCTGCCCATAGAGTCAAAACCCAACAAATGCAAAGTCAAAACGCAGACCAAAACGCAGCCACAACAGCAAAAATATATTTTAAAAAAAATCCCAAGACATTAAAAAGAACTTAGAAAAGTGTGAATCCTTTCCAGGAAGCCGCCCAAAAAACGGCAACCAAATTGAGCGATTCCAGCGGCGGCCCTGCACTAGAAACCTACAAACCTAAATAGATAGATCGGGTCAAGTTCTCGGTAAAGAGTTGACCTAGCCCAAAACATAAAACAGAACACACAAAAAACATAAAAGAAAAATCACAGAAAAAACTGGCTCGCAAAAAATGCCAGAAATACGAGGATACAAAAAAGTGGACAAAAAATAAAGGAAAACACAGAAACGGATCGTAAAACGCGATTCCTGGTAGCCTAGGTAACGGTACACGCAGTGGTTCAACTCTGCTTAAACCCTTTCCTGGACCGGGCGGAACAATTGCAAATTGTATTTGTAGAGCGAAAAGGGGTTAAAAAACAGGCCAAGGGTGGGCGGGTTTGTTCTGCTGCAAGGATTCGCGATTTCCAGTGCTCGCTGCTTCCCTTACTTTAACTGTTGGTGCATCGGATAAATAAGGATATGTTCAGGTATCTACAAATATCTGCTTATGTTATGTTCATTATCCAGCTCCCTGTGATTCTGTTAAGTGAACCTCTTCCCACATTTAATTTGTAACTCTGCTGTGTTAGTCCTGCACCGTATTTTATCCATTATGGTGCCTGGTTCTGAGCTGTTAGTCATGCTGTCCCTCTCTCGCTGGATTTGCTCTGATTTTCCACTCTGTTCCCTACGCTTCTTTCAGCTCTGTTTTTTTCACTTCTTAGCGGATCGTAAAGTAATAAAAACATAAAAATACGAACGACCGAGCAGGACGTATATTAGAGAATGAGCAAAACTGTAAATGTGAAACTGGAACTGGAACGGGAACGGGAACACATGCCAGGACGAAGGGTTAAAAAAATGCGTGCACTTTTTTTTATGACTCGGTCAGCGAATGAGTTAAACAATGCCCAAAATAGCAATCGATTTTCTGGTTAATTTT